GGCAGAAGCTGGGCAATTTTATGAGGTGGAAGCAATATCCAAGGGAGGGTGGCACAGGGATGGACCTGGGGATGTAAGAGGGGTCACATTCTCTTCTCCAGCTGTTACCCTGCAGGTCTGCCTCAGTGGAAGTACTACAGAGGGAGATAAATCACTTAAACAAAACCCCAAACTTGATCTAAACCAGCTTTAAGATCTATAAAGTTGATTACAAAACCCATGCTATTGTAACTGTTACTTGATAGCTCAAATGAAATGAATTATAAGGGCAAGCTGCTTCCCTGCTAGCAAGCTGTCGCATGTGAATTTTACAGGGCTATCACTGACGCAGGAAAGCACAGTGAAACACTTGAGAATCAAAGCCTTGGTTTGGCAAATGCTAGAACAAATGGGCAATTAACTTCACTTGTGCGAATAGCTCCACTGGCCTCCGCAGGACTGCTCTCGCACAGGAAGTCTATAGGTGATTAAGTGTCTGCTCAGCATGGGATACAACTGTACTAAATTCTTTATGAGCTACATGAAATCTGCTCTTTTCAAACAACAGCTCCAGTGGAAAGTTAATGCCTCAAAATGCTAAATTACAGAGCTAATATAAACAGCTGAAAGCTTCCGGATGGAACAAGCATCTGAACAGATACCTAAAGCTTTTATGCCCATTTTTAGGAGCCTTGTTTTTCATAGGTACCTAAATGACCTTGGGCTCAAAGCTTCCTCCCCAGTGGGAGAACAGGGTCTGAACACATGGAAATGCCTTTACTTGTGGGAAAGAAAGTGCTGTTAGCTGCAAATATAGCTCAGACTTCCTTATCATTTTTTATATAGCTGCTCTGCCAAAGGAGTGTTAAAGATGCTTTAGTCTTGTCTCTTGTTCCATGGATTGAGTGTTCTGAGCATGAAATTTATTTTCTTCAATTTTTACAGTAAGATCTAAATCTGTTACTATGAGATCAAAGGTACAGGCACAAGCCATGAACCATTTACAGCTACAAAATGGAAGGCAAAAAGAGTGATTGGTAAATAAGGTTGATTTGTGAAACAATCATGATGTAATTGAAATCTGTTTTCTGTGTGCTTTTCATCAGAGCTATTCTCTGGGCCAGGGGCTGCTAGCACCTCTGTACCCTCTTGCAGACCTGCATCTAAAATAAGTGGGGACCCTGATTTGAACTTCTTGAACTGGAAATGTGTGTGAGTGTGCTTTTGTGTTATCATGACTCTGCACCAAGGGTGAAACCACGTGCTCGAGGAGCTGCATCTACAGGCAATGCACATCTACACCTAAGCAGGGGGGAAATAACCAGGAGGGCTGTGGGGGCACCCAGCTCTACAGGGAATCAGAGCTATGTGAAGGGAAAACTGTAAAGTCTAATCTAATCCAGACCTTCCACAGAGATGAGAATTTCATCTGCTTACATCTGTCTCTAGCAGTGTACAAAAGCCTTTCTCATACTCTGCTTTGGTGCTTTTCCTAAGGAAAAGTGGGGGAAAGATGGAATATTTGGAATAGCTGATGTATTGCAGTTGACAAAACAGATCAGGAGGGTAAGGGGGAGATTAGAGGGGACATGGAGTCTCACCTTCCATCTGCCGTACAACAGGACTCTGACCTCCTAGGTAATGACCCTGCCTGACCACAAATGGCCGGTCCCCTTGCATGGTACTCGGAGCCTAAGGAAGCCTTAAAGGATACTGAGGCTTTTTCAAGCTAAAAAACTTCTGAAGAGCCAATGCAAAACTGTTTTCACTGGTGTCTGTAGCACAGGCTGCTTGTTCTTTCCCACAGCTCAGTCTGAAGGTGCCTCTGACAGCTCCCAAGAGGGAGGTGGCCAGCTGGGTGCCTTCTCCCCCAAGGACATGGCTCCCCTCTTGCTTTGCTGAACATCTCCCTGGAGCAG